GCCAAAACCCGTAGAAGCGGACGAGACCCTGGCAGCCAAAAAACCGTAGAAGCGGACGAGACCGTGACACAACGCCGAAGCGGACGAGACCGTGACAGCCAAAAACCGCCAAAGCGGACGAGACCGTGACGCAAAAAACGGCCTTAGAAGCGGACGAGACCGTGACAGCCAAAACCGTAGAGGCGGAGGAGACCGTGACAGCCAAACCCCGTAGAAGCGGACGAGACCCTGGCAGCCAAAAAACCGTAGAAGCGGACGAGACCGTGACACAACCGCCGAAGCGGACGAGACCGTGACAGCCAAAAACCGCCAAAGCGGACGAGACCGTGACAACAAAAAACGGCCTTAGAAGCGGACGAGACCGTGACAGCCAAAACCGTAGAGGCGGACGAGACCGTGACAGCCAAAACCCCGTAGAAGCGGATGAGACCCTGGCAGCCAAAAAACCGTAGAAGCGGACGAGACCGTGACACAACCGCCGAAGCGGACGAGACCGTGACAGCCAAAAATCGCCAAAGCGGACGAGACCGTGACAACAAAAAACGGCCTTAGAAGCGGACGAGACCGTGACAGCCAAAACCGTAGAGGCGGACGAGACCGTGACAGCCAAAACCCGTAGAAGCGGACGAGACCCTGGCAGCCAAAAAACCGTAGAAGCGGACGAGACCGTGACACAACCGCCGAAGCGGACGAGACCGTGACAGCCAAAAACCGCCAAAGCGGACGAGAGACCGTGACAGCAAAAAACCGCCTTAGAAGCGGACGAGACCGTGACAGCCAAAACCCGTAGAAGCGGACGAGACCCTGGCAGCCAAAAAACCGTAGAAGCGGACGAGACCGTGACACAACCGCCGAAGCGGACGAGACCGTGACAGCCAAAAACCGCCAAAGCGGACGAGAGACCGTGACAGCAAAAAACGGCCTTAGAAGCGGACGAGACCGTGACAGCCAAAACCGTAGAGGCGGACGAAACCGTGACAGCCAAAACCCGTAGAAGCGGACGAGACCCTGGCAGCCAAAAAACCGTAGAAGCGGACGAGACCGTGACACAACCGCCGAAGCGGACGAGACCGTGACAGCCAAAAACCGCCAAAGCGGACGAGAGACCGTGACAGCAAAAAACCGCCTTAGAAGCGGACGAGACCGTGACGGCCAAAACCCGTAGAAGCGGACGAGACCCTGGCAGCCAAAAAACCGTAGAAGCGGACGAGACCGTGACACAACCGCCGAAGCGGACGAGACCGTGACAGCCAAAAACCGCCAAAGCGGACGAGACCGTGACAGCAAAAAACTGCCTTAGAAGCGGACGAGACCGTGACAGCCAAAACCGTAGAGGCGGACGAGACCGTGACAGCAACAAACGGCCTTAGAAGCGGACGAGACCGTGACAGCCAAAAACCGCAGAAGCGGACGAGACCGTGACAGAACCGCCGAAGCGGACGAGACCGTGACAGCCAAAAACCGCCAAAGCGGACGAGACTGTGACAGCAAAAAACGGCCTTGGAAGCGGACGAAACCGTGACAGCCAAAAACCGCAGAAGCGGACGAGACCGTGACAGCCCAAAACCGTAGAAGCGGACGAGACCGTGACAGCCAAAAACGGCCTTAGAAGCGGACGAGACCGTGACAGCCAAAAACCGTCGTAGAAGCGGACGAGAGCGTGACAGCCAAAAACCGCCGTAGACGCGGACAAGACCGTGACACCCAAACACCATAGAAGCGGACGAGAACGTGACAGCCAAAAACCGCCGTAGACGCGAAAGAGACCGTGACACCCAAACACCATAGAAGCGGACGAGACAGCCAAGAACCGCCATACGCTGTCACGGTCTCGTCCGCTTCGGCGGTTCTTGGCTGTCACGTCTGCTTCTACGGTTCTGGCTGTCATCAGCTTTGGGGCTTTTATATTATAATATATTATATTTTATTTTATTTTATTTTTTTATAATATATTATATAATGAAGTATATATATATATATATTAGAAGGTGAGTTTAGTCAGGTCCATGAGGAGGCTTTAGGGGCTTCAGGGGGTTGAGGGTTTAGGGTTTTGAAGGTTCTGGGATTTTAGGGACGAGGGGCGTTAGGGGGTTTAAGGGGGTTTGGGGTTCAGGGCCTAGGGCGTTTAGGGCTTTTGGTGTTCAGGCTGAAGTCGAGCAATCTTTGATAGTTTTCCAAGGGCCAGCCTGGCCCATGTCGCTTGGCCACCACGGGGTACTGTAGTTAGATTGCTTAGATAGAAGAAACAAATCAATGCATGGTTAGTTAAATAGAGAAGAAGCTACATGTACACAAATCATGAGATTGGTTTTTAGATAGGCCTGGGCTGTCGGCACTTGGCAGCTGTCACGGCGAATTCCATGAGGCCCGAAAGAAGGTTTTCGGGGTACTTCATCGTTGTGTACGCATGCTCGTACGGCTACGTTACATTGCGCCGGCACATGGCATATGAAAGCATTCAAAGGCCGCGTCGTGGACTTAGATGTATACCTGTAAGCTCATCGGCTATGTGGACGCTTATCTTTGGGCACAGTGTCCAGTGTTGTCATGGTTACCATTGTCTCGGCAAGCGCCATGATCACCGTTGTTAATTGCTGGCACTTGGACCTCCTTGCTTCCAGCAGTGTCAAACACCATACCAGCAATGACGCCCAAAGCCTGGTGCACACCACTGAGCCGTTAACCCCAGCATTGCCATCGTTACCCCACATACCGTCATTCCGGATTATGATTCCTATTTTATGTTGTGCAGCCTTCCCGAGCCATGGGAGCAGGGGCCAGCGCCTATCTTGCCTCTGTGGATGATGCCACCTTGCAAAGCATCACTGACGATGTTGAGAAGGCGGCGCAGCTGCTGAAGCTTGTGGCAGAGGGGAGGCGCAAACGTGAGCTCGGGCGGAGGCAGCTGACGATCAATAGCCTCAGTGGCTCACAGTTCCAGCTGGAAATCGACGAGGCTGCAACAGTTCTGGATGTTTCCCAGGAGATCGCAGGAATCGTCGGTGTAGCACCGGGGAGGATGCTTGTTTTAACCTCCGGCGCTGCTGTCCTTGACGAGTCGAAGCCTTTCCTGCAGCAACTTCATGGAGATGAGATTACATACAGGGATCAGCAAGTGGGCGCAGGTCAAGCGGCGGTGAGCTTGCTGCGCTCTCTAGCAGAGTGGCCACGACATCGCTTATGTGCAGCAGACACGGCCGCCACCGATGCTATTTCCTCGCTGACCATTGGCAACGAATTTGCCTTGAGCTTGGATGCGGCCGTGCTACCGCAGAACCTGCTCACACTGGCCTTCGGAGACTGCTTCAACGAAAGCTTGACGCACGTGGCCTTGCCGAGCAGCGTGCGGACGCTGACCTTCGGTAACAGCTTCAATCAGAGCTTGGTAGGTGGGAGCTTCTGAAGAAGCATGTCATCTGATATCCATGAGCCCCTAGGCCCAGGTGCTGTAAGCCCCAAACTCACAGGACCCTGATGCGCAGGTGTGACTTTGCCACTCAACCTGCAGACGTTAATCTTCGGCCAAGATTTCGATCAAAGTTTGGAAGGTGGGCTCTGCGTCAAAATTGCTGCCTGTCGTGGTCGTGTCTGTGGTCGCCTTCCCGTCATTCATGTTCATTGTTGTCGCTGTTGTTTTGCGTTGTATTCGTTGTGACACAGTCGTTGTCGTACTGGTCTTCGCTACCACCACATATTCCTGAATGAGCGCTGCCAATTACCTACTACCCAGCTACCTACTACCTACTACCTCCTACCTCTTACCTCCTCCTCGTCCTCCTTTTCCTCCTCCTCCTCCTCCTACTACTACGACGACAAGGACGACGACGAACGACGAAGGACTAACGACGAAGGACGAACGACGAACGACGAACGACGAACGACGAACGACGAACGACGAACGACGAACGACGAACGACGAACGACGAACGACGAACGACGAACGACGAACGACGAACGACGAACGACGAACGACGAACGACGACGACTACTATGATGATGATGGCTATATGTTTCGCCTGTTCTTGGAAGGTGTCGTTCTACCATGCACTTTGCAGACATTGACCTTCGGCGACCAATTCAACCAGACCTTGGGAAGCTGCCCGTTGCCGAGCCAGCTCCGAACTTTGACGTTCGGCTGGGGGCTTCCCAAAATGGATTTGATCAACGTTTTAAAGCTTCGTGCTCGTTTGACATCTCTGCACATTCAGGAACTTGAGAGAATTTTGCGTGCTGGTTGTTGATGTAGCCCGAGAGGGACTTGCGGTGTTTTTGTTTTTGTTGATGTTTTTGTTTTTGTGGCGTGCGTCTCGCATCCTGCTGAAGGTTCAACCAGAGCTTAGAAGGCGTCGTGCTGCCAAGCAGCTTAAAGACCTTGACCTTTGGCCACAGCTTCGACCAGTGCTTGGAAGAGCGGGTTTTGCCGAACAGCCTCGAAATCTTGACCTTCGGGCACGAATTCGATCAAAGCCTCGAAGGCGGGAGCCAGGGAGCCTGTTCAAAAAGAGCCTTCTTCAAAGGTAGATCAAGCAGTGCGGTACGACACTTGGGCTTTACACTCTGAGCCTTTTCAATTCTTAGAAGCTGCGAGGTGTGGTGCTGCCAAGCAGCTTGCAGACGCTGACCTTCGGACAGGACTTCAATCAGGCGGTGGCAGGTGGGAGCCAAGCGCAGCCCAAGGGTGGGATATAGCATAGTAACGCACCTTTGCGAGAAAATCTTAATACGGGATCCTACTATTAACCTCTGGTAGCCCCGAAGAAGCGAAGAAGCCCAGAGGTGTCATGTGGCCGGAGGGCTTGCAGACGCTGACGTTCGGGCGTGGCTTTCGACGGAGCCTGGAGGGCGTTGCGTTGCCAAGCTGCCTCCAGAGCCTGACCTTTGGCGACTTCCTCATCCAGAACTCGACAGGTGCTCAACTGGCACAGGGCATCGGGTTTTCGTGTATGTTGTACTACACACTGTTGCACCTTTTGACTGTAAGTGAGTTGCAATCACGAACCGACAGAGAAGCCATGCTAAAGTTCTTGGGATAGCTTTGTCATGTTGTGGAAAAAACCCTTACGACGAGTCCCTCAACATAGTTCTGCTACAATGCACCCCGAAACCCTATTCAAGTGATTCAGGCCCCTTTCTTGCAGGAATCCAACTGCCGCGTGACCTGCGCACATTGACCCTCGGCTCCTTCGTGACCCGGAGCTTGGACTCTCTTACTTTGCCAAGCAACTTGCAAACATTGACAGTTCGTGGCTGTGGCAATCAGAGCTTGGCAGGTGCCAGATTGCCAGAGAGCCCCCAGACGTAGGTTAGCACATTTTTTTTGTGTCGTCTTTTCAAGTCCATCTGGGTTTTTGTCACCTCGGTGGCAGAAGGCTTGGAGACATTGACGTTCGGCCAAGACTTTGACGAAAGCGTAGACGGCTTGGTGTTGCCGAGCTGCCTGCAGACTTTGACCTTCGGACGCGAGTTTGACCAGAGTTTGAGCGGAACCTCGGCTTCGCTCTGATGTTGCGGGCTTTTGCGGGGCGAGCTGCTTTAGCTTGGGCTTTCGATGTTCGGGGCCAAAAGCACTTGGAGAGGTCGGATTGTTTGCACGCAAAAAAGGTTCAATGTGAAGACGTTACGTGGGTATCACCATCAAAAGGACGACACCAAAAGTCAGATGATGGAACCCACCTGAAAGCGGGATCAGTTCGAAAGGAGCAGGTCTCGTCAGAAGAATGAGGGGGACAGGGGGCGACTTGAGCATGCGTTGCTGTTTTCCAAATTCTCCAGGTATTCAATGGCCTAAAAGTCTGCGCACACTGGGTCTTGGCCGGGCATTCAACCAGATCTTGGATGACGTCGTGCTGCCAAGCGGCCTGAAGATCTTGACATTTGGAGACAGGTTCAATCAGAGCTTGGTAGGCACCAGCTTCCGAAAAGCGAGCTTCAACCAACCTCAAAAACACCCCCCCCCCCTTCTCTTACGTGCCCTTCATAACCAGGATCTCGATTTTTTTCAGACTTTCCAGGTGTGGCTTTGCCAGAGAGCCTGGAGACCTTGACATTTGGCCAAGATTTCGATCAGAGCCTCGAAGGAGTGGAGCTTCCAAGCAGCCTGCAGACGCTGGTTCTGGGCGACCAGTTCAACCAAAGCTTGGCAGGTGCCAGGCTACCAGAAGGCCTGCGTACCTTGGTTCTGGGCGACAGATTCTGTAGTCTCGAAGGCACCATGCTCCCAAGCAGCCTGGAGGAGCTGACCTTCGGGTACTTCTTTAACGGAAGCTTGGAAGGCGTCGGGCTGCCGGATGGTTTGCGGGTGTTGACATTCGGCCACCACTTCGACCAGAGCCTTGAGATCGCTCTACCTGGCAAGCTGGAGAGGCTGACCTTTGGCCAGTATTTTGACCAAAGCCTTGAGGCCGTCACTCTGCCAAGCAGCTTGCAGACCTTGACGTTTGGCGAGTGCTTCAATGAAAGCCTGGCAGCTGTCACTTTGCCTGAGAACTTGCAGACATTGACCTTCGGTGATCGCTTCAACCAAAGCTTGGAAAACGTGGTCTTTCCTAGCAGCTTGCAGACTCTGACGTTTGGCGGCAGGTTCAACCAAAGCCTGGCTGCTGCGATGCTGCCAAGTCGCTTGCAAGCTTTGACCCTCGGTGCGGACTTCAACCAGAGCTTGGAAGAAGTCTCGCTGCCGAGTGGCCTGCAGAACCTCACGTTTGGCCAAGCTTTCAGCAAAAGCCTGGAAGCAGCTGCATTGCTCAGCAGCCTGCAGACCCTGGACTTCCGTGGTCTGCGGATTTGCGTCCGAGAGGAATCATGAGAAGCGGCGCTGTTCCCTGCTAATGCAGTGGCTGAGCAGAACCGCACTCCGGAATTCAAGGGCCACCTTTGGAGCACTTTGGGGGTAGAAGTTGCTGAGCAAAGAACCTCTCAGCTACCTACACCTACCGCCGCAGCATTCCCGCAATGAAATGGGTGATGGCCCTGACAATCACACAACGCCCACTCACAAAGAACGGTACATAAACCATATGTTGCAGACAACAGCAACAACCAGTAATCAGATTGTAACCAACTGTCGATGAGTCGCTAGGTTTTTCGTGACCCTGAGTGCAGCCTGCGAGACTTCTATGGTCCGCACTGTAGGTTTAGCCATGCAATTTAGCGGTGTCTTGGTTTAGGCCTTAGACTTTACACGAAAGTTTTAACCTTCTGCTGAAACGAAGAGTTGTTTTGAGGATTTAGGGGCTCTTCAGGGTGCAAGGGTCGGGATGCTGAGGGTTTCGGATCTGGAGCTCGCCAACCTCAAGAAACCGAGACCTTCTGCAGCGTCTCTAGAACTTAGGGTTTATATGCAGAGGACTGGGATCCGTCTGCGGTGAACGGCGAAGCCTTCCGCGTCAGCGAGGACCGCCCGCTTCTTTTAGTGAGCCTTGGGGTGGTTTCCCGGAAACTGAGGTGCCCTTCTCGGGAGTTTCTGTAGCCGGGGTGATAGTATTTTGGGTGAAAATTAGGGTATCCCTATTCTGGGAAATGCTCACACATGTGACAAAGACTGCCTCAGCATTTCAATGCCGTTTCGGTTTGCGAGCTCGGTCTGATGCGTGGCAGGTTGAACCTTCTCGAAACTGCCTTTTCAAGGGTAAAGTTGGTATATCATGTCGATGAAACAAGCTTTTTTGGCTTCATGAAGCGGCAGGGGCTGCACACGAAATGGACGGGTGCGCGCAGTCGTGGCCGCAACACGGCGAACCAGCAAGCCTCAGAGCTACATACACATGCTCACCCGCTGCCTGTGTTGTTCCGCCGTACCTTCGTTCACCAGTGCGCCTGTCAGCGATCAACTATGATCAGTTGCAGCAGCAACACACACTCGCGCACAGGCATGCGCAGACATGTGAGTCGTAGTGACACAGATTTGTTGTGCATATTTGAGAAGTGAATCGTGTCCGGGAGAGGTGGCTCATGAATCCCAAGGAGCTCCTTGTGGATGCATTGGTTTGGGTGTGCCAGTCGACCAAACCCAGTCTTCCAAGTATTGCAGCTTTCCGTCCACAATACCTTCTCCCAGAAGGTTTTTTGCAACCAAAAAGGTATTCCCAGTGAGGAACGGGTAGGTGCACGATTCAGGAAAGTTTCAGTCGTGGTCTGGGTAAACTCCACAGCTTGAGAGCTCACTCTGAGAAGCTCCCCTAGGCCCTCGGGGGCTTTGAGACCAAGAGAGACCTCGATGCCCCTTTCACTGCTGCCCTAGGGGCACTTGGGGTTCCTTTCAGGGCTTTAGAGCATCACATCCCCCTGGGAGATTAGAGCCTAAATCCCGAACTCCAGGGATGTTTAGGGTGTAGGGACCCCTGACGGTCGAGATATCGGGACAGTTTGTCACAAAACCTCGTGCGTCGAGACGGTCGAGACATCGAGCCCCGGCCCAACGTAGAGAAGAACAACATTGTCACGAACCCTCGCGTGTCGAGACATTCCAGACATCGAGCCCCGCCCCAACGTTAGAGGGGAACAGAATTGTCACAAGACCTCGCGCGTCGAGTCTTTCGACTCTGTCGAGTCTGTCGAGCATTCGAGCCCGCCCCGACGCAGAAGAGGCACAATGTTCACGAAACCTCGCGCGTCGAGACCGTCGAGACATGGAGCCATTCGCAAGTGGTATAGGGGAACAAAACTGTCACGAAACCTCGCGCCAGCCCGAACCCACAATGGGGGTTTCAGGCTGTAAGCTGAGGTCAAGGTTTTAGCGACATGGAAGGCTTGAAAGGTGGATTTCGGTAAGCTCGTGCGTGCTCGTAAGCGAGAGTCCCGTGTAGAGGACAAGCTTCTTTCCCCACCGCCGCCCTTTGGATTCTGACCTTGACTTCTGAACCTTGAACCCACGACCTCTACGACGATTGTGGAGGACTGGATTGGCAAGTACCCCTTTGTGTCCATCGAGAATCCCTTGGACCAGGTGGGCCCAGCTACTGTCTTACCTCCGGTTAGGGTCTGAAGAAAAAGATGGAAATTTGTGGGATTATGCACGTCGTACTAGAAGGATGTTGTCCTCGTGTTGCGACTTCTTTGGATAGGAGAGATCGTGGAAGGTTTGCGTTTAGGGTCTTGGCCTTGGTTTTGGATTTTTTTGGAGGATGTCAGGGCTGAGTTTAGGCTAGAGGCGTTCTACATCGTTGAAAAGAACTCACGGCAAGGCTCTTTACTCTTTACACTGGGTGACTCGTTGTTGCGGCTGAGCTGAGATCAAGCAGCCTTACTAAAGGTCCACAAACAAAAATAGACTGACAGGTTTCTTCGAGAAGGGCTTGATCCATAGTTTGTCGACTTGTCAGACGTCTTTCAGATTCTTTGGCAATTTCCTCCTTGTGTTTAGCAAATGGATGGCTTGCCCGGCATCACAAGCTGCTACTGACTCAGTCAGGAGCAGTCCGGGATTCGCCGATGTCCTGCGGGCAGAAGAGCAAACCTGGAGATCCCACTGGGCTGACAAAAGTCTTCTGGTGAAAGGTAACTTAAGCATTCCTCGCTTCCGCGCCAACGACGACAGAGAATCTGTTTACTACCCCGCGTATGCAGAGAGAGAAGAGTTTGGGGAACTGTTTTCTGATGATGCAGAGTGGGAGCTGCACCAAACAGAGGTTCGTGCCCAGCACGAAAGTTGGCTTGCCTCCTTGTTGCTGCGCCTTCACGAAGACGTGTTGCTCTTGCGTACTACACTTGCAAGCCGGATGCCACGACGTGCCATGTTTTTCAGCCGAATAGGGGTATCGTGGAATCGCGCGCCTCGAGCTTGGATTGTCAGCTAATGCTGCAGCTTTGTAGAGGCCAAGCGCGAAACTTCATTGGAAAGCAACGAAAAGCACAGTTTTGCCGTTTGTCTCTTCAAACTGCACCGATGTTGTTACATCCAATCAGCTCGCACATCGAAGCGACGTCATGGCTCCACATTGTTGCCGAGGGCGACATGCGGCATATGCAGTTCCATGCCCTGGAAGGGCGCTCCTCACATGCAACTCTCAGAGAGACGGCACTTCAACCCTCATGTGATGGCAAGCCATTTGTTTATGACAAGAAGACTCCAAGAGATTCGACCTGTCCAAGCCTGACCTTTTTTCTCGTTTTCCATTCTCCCAGCGAGCCTTGCCACATCCCCGGCCATGAGAGGTGAGGGAAGTTTGTACGGAGCCGAACTTTCATCAACAAGCCAGGGCCGAGCCAAGCTGGCGCCACAACCTTAAAGAGTTGAGGTGGGTTCAGGGTTCAGGGTTCAGGGTTCAGGGTTTAGGGTTTAGGGTTTAGGGTTTAGGGTTTAGGGTTTAGGGTTTAGGGTTTAGGGTCCCTAAACAAACACTCACCCGTGAAAATCAAAGGGCTTTCCGTCCCCTTGCCCATCCACTCATCCCCATGGCCCGCAGATTCGCTAAGAGGCAACATCCCCGGCGCGCCGGAGATGGTCAACACTACGACCGAGGACTTCGGCCGAGCTCGGGGGGACCAAGAATTTGGCAGCGTGTTTTTTTCGGAGGGTTCAGCGTTTGGGCTTTCTCGAGGCTAGAAGCTTCAGGGGTTCAAAGACTGTAGGGTTCGGGCTGCAGCGGCTGTAGCGTTTCTGGCCGTATTCTTGGATTCAGGAGAATATATATACATATATATATATATAGATATATACATATATATATATATGTGGCCGAGACCTTTAGGGTCTATTTCACGGCTGGTTCTTCTTTCAGTAGTAGTGCAATAATAATAATAATAATAATAATAATAATAATAATTTAATATTATTATGAGTATAATAATACTGACCGTAATTGTAATAGGAATAATAATAGTACTAGTAATAGTAATAGGAATAGGAATAGTAATAATACTAGAAATAGTATTAGTAGTAGTAACAATAATAGTGAAGGTTTGGTCTGTGTGTGCACCGGCGCCAGCAAGTGCAGCCATGTAGCTCTAGCACACTTTGAAGTAAGAGATAGACAAGTTGTTTCATAGCCTGAAGAGGGGCGAAGGGCTCTCTCATTTCCGATTACGAGGTAGAGGTGAGCTATCTCATTTCTTAGAAACATAGAGGAGATCTCATTTCCACGACAGAGACATCTTTCACTCAGGAGAGAACGCAAGCTGTTTCATTTCCAAGAAAATAGAGGAGCTCTATCATGTCGCATTAGAAGTGAGAAGCTCTGCACTAAAAGATAGAAGGCATCGATTCGTTTCCCTTTTTCTTTTGCTTATCAAAGGGTCTTTTCAGTTCGAACACAGGATTTCTTTCATGCCCTATAAGAAGGATCGAGGAGCTCTTTCATCTGAGAGATAGAAGAACGCATTCATGAAGTATACACGAGCTCATTTCTCGTCAAGAGGCAGAGGCGTGCCCAGCTCTACCATTACCTAACTCTTACCTGAAATTTCTCTATCTCGCAATAGGTCATGAGAGACCTCCTTTTTCACGCTGCAGGAAATGAGAGAGTTCTCTTCTATGTCGATTTTCAGAAATAGCTTCGCAGCTTCTCTATCAATGAAGAGTTTTGAAGGCCACTCTGGGCCATTCTCTGTCCATCAAATGGGACATGACATAACGCATCACTCGCTATCGTTTACGTGATAGAGTTTCGCTATCTCTGAATAGGTCATCTGAAAGCTCCTCTGTATCTTTGCAGCAAGTGAAGGAGCTCCTTGCCTCTTCTGCAAGAGCCCTCCGCTTCCTATTTTGCAATGAGCAAGCTCTTTTATCTCCTCTGGTTCCTAATAGGTCATGAGCGGGCTTCCCTCTCTCCTTCTCTTTTAGGGGATAGAGGAGGTTTTTTCATGTTG